AATGATTTAGACTGGGTAGTATATACTTTAGGATTATATTTATCTGTGACAGAAAAGTCTAAACTAATAGTGACTTACAAAACAAAATTTTATTTATTTCCATGCAAAAGTCCAGAGGGAAGCAATTCAGAACTGGTAGATCAACTTCATAAAACTTCAGACTCATGTGTTGTTCATCTGCCGATACCAGCACTTAACCCAAGGCCACAAGAGAGCTGCTCTAGCACTAGTCACATCTGCATTCCTTCCAATGGGAAGAAGCACACACCTTTCCTTTTAAAAAACAGAAAAACTGCTTTATTGGGATATAATTCACACACCTTACCATTTACCCAATTAAAGTGTACAATTCGGTGGCTTTTAGTGTAGACAGGATTGTGCAACCACCGCTACAATCTAACTTTAGAATATTTTCATCCTGTGTTCAGCCCTGTACTCATGCTCTACCCAAAGTCCTAGGCAACCACAAATCTAAATTCTGTCTGCAGATTTACCTATACTGGACATTGCATATAAATGGAATCATACAATATATGGTTTTTGCCTCTTTTCATTTAAGGTTTCCAAAGTTCATCCATGTTCTTTTTATTGTGGAATACTAGTCCATTGTATGGATATACATTTGTCCATCAGTTGATGGACATTTGGGTTTCACTTTGGGTTACAAATAATGTTGCTATGAACATTTGTGTTCAAGTTTTTGTGTGAACATGTTTTTTTCTAAGGTATATAGTTAGGAAGACTTGCTGGGTCATAAGGTGATTCCAGGTTTAACTTTCTGAAGAGGCAGAGTTCCATAGTGCCTCCGCCGGTTAGCATGTCCACTAGCAGCAAGGTGTGACTTCTCCACACCCTCCCCAGTGCTTGTTCCTGTTGGCCATTTTAATCCTAGGCATCCAGTGGTGTATTCTGTTATTTTGTATTAATGACATAAGCATCTTTTCATGTGCTCGTTGTCTGTCTTTGGAGAAATTACCTATAGAAATCCTTTGCCCATTTTTAAATTGGGTTGTCTATTATTGTTGAGTTGTAAGAGTTCTTTATAATATATTCCAGTACCAGTCTTTAAGATTTGCAGATAATTCTCCCATTTGGTGGGTCATCTTTTCACTTGTTGGGTGGTTTGCAACACAAAATTGTTCGTTTAGATAGTCCAACTTGTGTCATAAGAAACAGTTGTCTAACCCTAGGTTATGAAGATTTGCTCCTGTTTTCTTTTTTTAAAGATTTTTTTTTTTTTTAATTTATTTGACAGACACAGCGAGAAAGGGAACACAAGCAGGGGGAGGGGTGGAGGGAGAAACAGACTCCCCACTGAGCAGAGAGCCCGACGTGGGGCTCAATCCCAGGACTCTGGGATCGTGACCTGAGCCGAAGGCAGATGCTTAACGACTGAGCCACCCAGGCGCCCCTTCGAGATGTTTTATAGTAGATGTTTTATCGTTTTAGCCTTTACACTTAGGTCTTTGGTGCATTTTCGGTTACTTTTTGTGTGCGATGTGACCCCTTCCCTTTGAAAGACTTTCCTGGCAAACTGCATGTACGCTGCTCTGCTCTCATTCACCGGCTGAACTGAGTTACGTGGCTACACCCATCTCATCTGCGAGAGGCTGGGCAATGTGTGTTTCAGGCATCTTGTATCAAATGTAGGTTGTGAACCTGTTCAGCCATAGTCTAAGCAAGTCAATTCTATTGCTTCGTTTTTCAAATAAATGGATCTGGTGGTTTTTCACCTGCAGGGTGTTCAGCGCGAACCGGCGCTGGCTCTAACTCCCTCGGGGACCTGCCCCCAGGACAGAAGTCCCAAGGGACTTAACGGCCTTTATCCTCCAGCCCCACCCCCCGGCGAGTTCGGGCTCTTGGGGGAAATGGAACAGCGCCCTTCGCGGCTCCCCGCCGTCCCCCGCGTTGCCCGCGGCCCGCCCCTCGCCGCGCCGCGCCCACTCGGCCCCCGGAGCCGCCCTCCCCGCGGAAGCCGGGGCGCAGGCCGGGCGATAACGCCGCAGGGGGGCAGGCGGAGCTGCCGTGCGCCATGGCCGCGTCCTCCGGAGCGCCCCGGGCCCCCGTGGACGAGGCGCCGCCGCCCCAGCCGGAAGCGCGCAGCTCGGTGAGCTCAGGACGAGGGCGAGCGGGGAGCCGGGGCTGCGCGAGGGACGCGGCGGGAAGGTGCGCGGGCCCCAGCCTTCAGGCTTCCGAGACCCCCCTAGTGGACTTGGACAGTTGAGAGCCGAGAGGCCGAGATACTCGGGAGCCCCAGAGAGAACAGGATGGGAAACTGAGTCCTAGACAAGTGAAGTAACTTGTTGCATTGATTCAGCGAGGCTGGCAGGACCAGCGCCAGTCTCTGGGTTTCTGATTCCCAAATTAGGGCTCTTGCCCGCCACAGTCCAGGTCTTCCCAGAGCTCTCCGGCACCCTGGGCAGGTAGGACTTCCCGGTGTGTGGGGCGGGGGGCGGGGTCTGCCTCCCCTCCCCAGTCTCCTGGCACGTGGTGTGGGCGCAGGCAGCCCCGCACAGCCTGGCGCCGGGCTTCTCCTGCAGACTGCCCCCAGAGATGACTTCCTGGCAAGCAGGCCCCCCAGTGAGGGTGGAGGGCAGGTGGGAAGCCAGCGGTGTCCTCAGGCCTTCCTCATCCCCTGCGTGGATGGGGCCGGCGCAAGCCGGCCAGGGTGTCTGTATGCGAGAGAGGGGGTAGGACCGCTGAGCTTTGTGCTGAACAAAGACCCATCGCTTGCTCCCTGCTCAACGCATCCATTGTCTGTGGCTTCACTTCAGCACCTGGATTCCCTTTGTCGACTCAGAGCTTCCTGTCAGACACCTCAGAGCAAAGGCTTGTGGCCCCCAAGAAAGAAAGTGAGATAGGGAGGCCCCCTGGGGACTCTCGTTTCCCAGGGAAATTTAGAAATTCAGGGGGAGATGAATGGCAAGAGGGAAAACTGACGTTGCGAAAGAAGTGCCAGCATTTATTCTCATAAGGACCTCTGCGGTCTATTTTCCACCCCGCTTTACGTGTGAGGAACCGAAGCTCAGGCCCGGTGCTGTACCTTGCCCTGCATCACACGGCTAGAAGTGGCCGACAGAATTTGAATCCAAGTTAGTCCAACGCTAAAACTGGTGCTCAGTTAACTGTGAAAGGCTTATGATTTAAGTAGGTGAAACTGCCATCCGCAAGGCTCAGTAGTTTCAGCCGGAATTTCTCGATCTTTCAAGTGACTTCTCTGTGCCAGAAGCTCACTAGGCGCGTTTAGGGGGAAACAAGAGGCACATGGGGTGGGGTGGCGCTATCATGTTGGATTCTGCCTCTTATTAACAATTTCTGGAAATTGAAATAATGTTCACACAAACGTCAGAAAAGGAGATGACATCCTGCCTTGTGTGTGGTTTTCTTCTGCGGGTAGGAAGAGTGTGCAAAGGATATGATAAACCCTTATCTGGCAAGAACTTCCCTTTAGAAGGGCCCATTTGGGGTGTCCTGCAAGATACTAAAATGGGTGAAGTCATAGTCCTCTCCACTCCCCCTCTCATCCCCAAGCAAAGGGGGGGGGGGGAAAGGAAGGATTCCCAGCATCTTTTGAAGAAACAGCCTTTTACCTAGTGTCTTCATGACATTGATTTCTCCAACAAATACATATTGAGCATCTACTATATACCACACATGGTTCTAGGTACTGGGGACATGGTGGTGAATAAAAATTATAGCACATGCTCTCAGAGAGTTTACATTCTCGTGGGGAGAGGCAGGAAATAAATGAGAATATATCAGGTATTAGGTACACTAGAGAGAGTCAGGTAGTCAGGGAAGGCCTCTGTGAGGAGATGACATTCAGGCTCAAAAGGCGTCAGCTCTGCAAAGACTCAGAGGAAGAGCCTTCTAGACAGAAGGAACAGGAAGTGCAAAGGCCCTGAGGCAGCAACAGGCATGGTCATTTTGAGGCACAGCAAGGAAGCTACCAAGGTTGAGGAGAGCAATCCAAAGTGAGGTGGGAAGGACGTGGGGGTTGATAGGGTGGGCTCCTGTAGGCTATATGGGAAGGACTTGGAATCATATTCAAACTGCAGTGGCAAGCTGTTGGGAGAGTTTTAAGCAGAGATGAGACACAATCAAATTTATGTTATGAAAAGATCACCTTGGCTGCTGGATAGAAAGTAGACAGTGGGGAATGAGAGCAGAAGCTGGGAAGCCACTTAGGGGACTACTGATAGATTTGGTGGGGAAATTGGGAAAGAGAAATCAAGGACTCCTAGGTTTGTGGTCCGAGCTGCTGAGTGGACATTGGACATTGGGGCCATTTAATGCACTAGGGACAATAGGGTTAGGAGTTGGTTTAGACAGTGGATGGAAATCAGGAGCTGTGTTTTGACCATGCTAAGCTGAAATGCCTGTTAGGCAACCATGTGGGTCTGTGAGTAGGCAGTCGAATATTCCAGTCTGGAGTTCACTGGATAGCTTAGGGCTTATGAGATATATACCTATCTCCATGCACACACACACATGCACGCGTGTGCACACACACACATTTGGAGTCATGAACTTTATTTCAGTGGTGGGCTAGTCTACAGTCTCTCCAGAAAAATAAAGCAACTCTGATTTATAGTGTTTGCTGATTCCTGTGGTATAAATTCACCACAGCTGATTTCAGGCTGTCAGTGGTTCGAGGACTGGCCAAAGTCCTGAACAGTTAACAATCAGCTCCTGGAGCAAATAACACTCAGCTTCATTTTCTCATCAAGACAACTCTTGAAATTGGCAGGAATATTCTGTTTGACACAGGAGGCTTCGAGAAATACAGTGCTTTATTCAGTTCACTCTGACTTGCTGACTCAGAGAACAAAACAGACTGCAGGAGGAAGCACTAAGAGGGAAATAGGAAGAACTTGTCCCGTGGGATGTGGGATCTTTGAGAGGTCATGGCTTAGGATTAATTTTTCCCTTTTGTCTCACTTCCCTTTAAGATGATTTAGGACAAATGAGGACTAAGAGGTTACTGGAAAAGACCTCAAGGGACCTCAGGATGCTTACGGAGGCTCAGGAGGATGTGGGGAACTGTTGTGTATGGGCGCAGGCGGGGGGCTTAGCTCCTGTGTCTCCCCTCAGGACAGCAGAGCCGGTCAACTCTCATTCTGTACCAAGGTGTGCTATGGCATTGGTGGGATCCCCAACCAGGTGGCCTCCAGCGCCACAGCCTTTTACCTGCAACTCTTCCTGCTTGATGTGGCCCAGGTGAGTGTGGGAAGCAGCCCAGGGCCCCCGGTTCCCATGGTCCTTGGTACCCAGTTCTCCCTCCCCAACCTGTACTTCACTGGATAGATGGCACTTCTGTCCCCAAACTGACAGTAAGCCAAATGCCTTTGAGGGCAACCCCCTTAAGGATGTTTATTGTAGGCTGTTTATGAGAAAAATGGGGAAACAATATGAATGCCCAACAATATAGAAGTAGTTGGATAATAAATTGTGTAATATCCACATAATGGACGACTGTGTAGTCATTCCAAAGAACGAGCTAGATCTATACCAGTGGATGCACTGTCAAGTGAGAGAAGTTGCTTTTAGAGACGAGTATACAAATTGATCCCATTTTACCAAAATAAAGACATGCCCCATATATGTAGGTACATGCGTATGTGTAAATATGGGATTCTACATGATTAAAATACAAGCATGAAGAAAATAAATTACAGAAGGATATACACAGGCTGTTACTGTTGCCTGTGGCAGGGGATGGTGGAGGAGAGAGGGTAAGCAGAAAAAAAGATTTCTCGTATAGTACCCACGATTTTGTTAAATGACACTGATATGATCTCATTTATGTAAAATTATAAATTATGAATGCACATAAATAAATGCCTGAAAGGGTGATCGCCAAAATGCTCTGGCACTTGTCTCAGGATGAGGGGATTTCACATGAGCTTTGCTCAATATTTTTCTGTACCGTTTGAATGTTTTTATAATGAGTGTGTCATTTATGTAATCAGAAAAATTAATAAAACATTGTCATTGTGAAACGGAAAGTCTACCTCTGTCCCCCTTCTTGCACAGATGAGGGTGCCCAAGCCTTCTCCAAAAGCGACTGGGCAGGAATGGTAACGGGAACGTGCCAGCATGTGGCTGTCAGCCCTCCCCTGCCCCTCTCTTCCCTAGCTCAGGTGTGCCCCAGAGCCTTCTGAATTTGTGTCCTGGGAAAGAGACCCCATAGACCTTTACACGGCGGCTCTGCCCCCTGCCAGGTTCCCAGCGCTTTCTCCTGGCAGGTGGGCAGGCCCAGAGACCCTCTCTGACTCCGCCAGGCCTCAACCATCCTCCACCTGTGCTTTTCAGGTCCCTGCTGCCCAGGTGTCACTTGTCCTGTTTGGAGGGAAGGTGTCTGGGGCAGCTGCCGACCCTGTGGCTGGGTACTTCATCAACAGAAGCAGGAGGACAGGGTCTGGACACCTCATGCCCTGGTGAGCAGCCCCATAGTCCTCAGGGTCCTGGCTTCCAACCCTGGCCTGAGGCCACTGTGTTTGTCACAGCCCTGATTCTTAGTGGAAACCCCTGTACACCGAGAAGACAAGACGGTAATAGGTGATGTCGTGGGACTAGGTCAGGCTGAGCCATGCAGGAGTTCAGAGACATTCTTGGGGGCTCTCCGTCACCAGGAGGCACAGGGCTGGACAAAGCCTCCTAGGCTCCCAGGCCTGATCCAGGGGTCTGTGTGTGTCCAGGGTGGGCTGGAGGTCTTGGAAGTCCTCACAAAGGAGATAGGACTCGCTGATGCTCATGGGTCCTGGATATAGGGAATGGCAACGCCAACCCCCAGGTGCCCCCGAGTTCTGCAGTGAATGGCCCCACACCCCAGGCTACCAACCCATCCATCAGCCACCCCTCCCTCTCCTCCTCCATGGTGAGCACCCTGGCAGCCCCAGCCCAGGGCTCCTGCTGGGGGCGGAGGACTTAGGCCCAGAAGGGTGTGGTTGTTTCGGGTTTGCCCTTCGTGTCCCCCGTCCTGGTGCTCCACGCCCGCTCTGCTTCCACAGGGTGCTGGGCTGCACGCCCTTCATCACCGTGGCCTACTTCCTCCTGTGGTTCCTGCCCCCCTTCACCAGCCTGCGGGGCCTCTGGTACACGAGCTTCTACTGCCTGTTCCAGGCCCTGGCCACGGTAAGCCGGTGCTCCCACCCCCACCCCCGAGCCGGGGCTTGGACTCCTAGAACCCCATAGCCGGCCAGTGGCCACTGTAAAGGGTGTGCAGAGGGGAGAGGGTAGGTGGCCCCGAGGGACCCACTGCCCGCCCCTGCTCACCCCTCTGGCCTTGGGGGCATCAGCCAGGACGGGCCAGCCTGGGGCGGCGGGGCTGGGACTGGGGGCCGAGGGGGGCCAGCCTGAGCCCGGGGCCCGGGCGTCCGCAGTTCTTCCAGGTGCCCTACGCGGCGCTCACCATGCTCCTGAGCCCCTGCCCGAGGGAGCGGGACTCGGCCACGGCGTACCGTGAGTGCGGGCGTGCGGTCGGGCGGGACGCCGCGGCCCCCGGGCCCGCCAGCGCCCGTCACCCGGCGCCGCTCTGTCGCAGGGATGACCCTGGAGATGGCGGGGACGCTGATGGGAGCCGCCGTCCACGGGCTCATCGTGGCGGGCGCCCACGGGCCGCACAGGTGC